GGGGGGGGGCAAAATTAAACCCATTTTTAAACTAAGGGTCAATTTCAGAATCTACATTAACTCAAATCAGATACCCAACATTTTTTCTTGGTCACAGGTTCCTCAACAAAAGTTTGATTGGTCTCATTTGATGTTTTTCCTTAAATTCATCAGAGTTTAACAGAAGAAACTTAATTTTCTGTGACAAAGCAGTGTGGAGTGCTAAAATTTACTGAATGAGCTAAAACAGAGTTATTAAAACTAAAAGAAGCAGAATGTTAGCTAAAAGCTAAAAGTAGCAACATTGTAACTAGAAGAGGTAGCTATAAGTAGCAAAAGGCTGGCTATATGTAGCCAAAAGACTTCCTAAAGTAGCTAAAATCACGAGCCAGAACCACCTCAGGTGACCCATTTCAACGAGGAGGATCAGCAGCTCGCCCTCAGAGGCCGGGTCCGGCCGTCCTGTGAAGGGAGCTCATTTAAGCTGCTTGTGATCCTTCTGATCATGATCCAAACCTCATGACCACAGGCGGGGGTTGAACCATCTCAAAGCTCAGCCTTTTATTACTGCAACAGACCGGAGCAATGCCCTCGTTACTGCGGCTGAGACCCCGATCTGTCCTGAACACGACTCAACCTCCACTTGAGGCAGAGACTCATCCCCGGTCCTTAAAGAACGTTCCGCCTTTTTCAGGTTGAGAACCACGGCCGTCGCTTCACACTCCACTGCGACCCACCCCAGTGCACGGCAGAAGTCAACAGAACCACATCATCCGAACAAATCATAGACGAGACCCTGAGGTTCCCGGACCCTCCTCCCCGACTGCAGCTTGAGATCCTGTTCGTAACTTTAGACCAGGGACAGCGGTCCGAGAACAACCCCGTCTTTGTACCATAGAGGTGGGCAGAGGTTCTGCTTGGACTTTACAGGGACCAGACAGCTCTTTAAAGGCACCCCAAGATCTCGGACCCCCTTACAGAGTTCCTCAGAAACACTGTTCTCCAAATCCACAAAGCGCATCTGGAGAGGTCACTCTTCTGATCTTGGTCTGTGAACTCCTCTCCGATTGCTCCCCTGAGGCCATCACTGATGTCCTTTTAAAAACTTGCATTCCTCTTTTTTCTGGATGTAAATCACTTTTTTCGGCTGATTATTTCCTCAGATGCTGTGCAGCTGGAAGGATTTTTACAGAAACCTTTTTACTTTCAGGCATTTGCTATGTGTAACCATGGCAACAAGGTGATTTTTTTTTTAACAACCAGGAGCAGCTGATTAACATCTCAAAAGATCAAATACCTCAACTACAGCCCCAAATCCCAAATGAGTTGAAAAGGAGGCGCTGTAGATGAATTCCCGTCAACCTGACCGCCAGGATCCTGGAGCTGGTGGGAAACTCAGTTCGTGACAACGGGAGGACCGGGAGCTCGGCAGGCTGCTGGGAGGAGTGACCATCTCTCAGGGAGAAATTCTGTCTGGCATTCGGTCAGTCCTGCTGCCCAGGAGGACCGAGAGGCCCGCCAGATCTGACAGACAGCCGGATTCAGGTGGGCGGATCAGTATCTGTGGCCAGATTCTTCGGATTTGCTGCAGGAGATCCTTCCACAGCTATCAGCATCTATAACAACTCCTGAATAAAACCAGGATGATGAGCTACACTTAATCTCCCTTTGGGATTAATAAAGTATTTTTGAATTGAATTGACTTCCTGCTCTGGCGTTGTCCCAGCACACCTGGGTGCTATCGATCGTCAGCTCGTTGCTCTTCACGCAGCACTTCTGCGTTTTGACTCAGTTGAAGTTCAAAGCTTCAGGCGGGTTCTGCACCTAATTTAAACAACTGCACGAGGACGGTTGAACTTTAAACCTGCCTCTGTGGTCAAGTCTCGTTCCTGACGTCACAGCAGGGATCTATCTTCTTAAAGCGTTTTTTAAACCCTGACATGTCAGTGAGACCCCTCCCACTTCCACCTTGGTTTGAAATTTTCACTTCCTTTATGCGAGTCGGTGATGCACTTGAACCTCTCGTGTCCTCCGAGCCCTCACTCTGGTGGCAGAGTGCCTGCAGCTGCTGAAACCTCTTGAGCTGAACCCCCCCTCCACGCCGCTGAGACTCCCAGGTAAGCCTGCAGCCTCGCAGCTCACACACCTGCTGAACATCTGTATTAACCTGTTTCCTTCCTGCTGTGCTTGTTTTATAACTTGCTCCATCCCACGGAGGTAGATTATTGACGTGCACTGAGGCTCGTGATGAAATTAGGGCTCATTTTACAGCAGGGTTATTAAATTAGGTGCAGGACGGCCTCTGATGTCTTGTGATGCTCGTGCAGCAGAGGCAGTTGTCTTCTGCGTGCAGGTTTTAGGCGCGGCTGCAGGTTTCAGGAAGTCAAATCTACAAATGGAGGTAAAAACGAACGTTTTGGGTGTTTTTAGGAGCTGCCACCGAATGATGCGGGAGCTGTTGATGCTGCAGCTGGTTCCGGTTGATTTCTGTACGTTTGAGGTTTAATTTACGAAGCATCTGGTTCGGATGAAGTTAAACGAGACGTTTTGAAGGTTTGAATCAAACTGATGACAGCGCTTGGTTTGAAGGAGAAGCTGGACAAAAGTTAAGGTTTGTGGTTTTGTTCGTCTGATGGAAGGATGTGGTGTAACGGCCGCTCCGCTAACTGCTTTACCTTTTTAGGTTCTCGTTGTGCGAGAACAAAAACCAGCTCGTGTTTATCTCGTTGCCTTGAATGATTCGTCTTAGCACGCACAATTATTTTAGTGCAAATTAAAGAGAGAAGAGGCGTCAGTCAGACGAGAGGAAGCTGTTGTGAAACCTTTTTGCTTCCTCTTTTTTTTTTAAACTTTCCTGCTTTTTTTTTTTTTTTTACAGTCAGTTTATTTCAGCAGAAACGTTGTTTCTCTTTGATCCTGTTCGAACGAGATGATTCTGACTGTTTGGTCTTTTTCCTCAGTTCAACATGTCCAGGAAGGTTGTGAGGTCCAGCAAGTTCCGCCACGTCTTCGGTCAGGCCGTGAAGGCCGACCAGTGCTACGATGACATCCGCATCTCCCAGATGACCTGGGACAGCAACTTCTGCTCCGTTAACCCCAAGTTCGTGGCCATGATCGTGGACGCCAGCGGTGGAGGGGCCTTCATGGTTCTGCCCCTGACCAAGGTGGGCTGCAGGAGACACCGAAACGTGACAAACATCTGCCTCCGACTTCTCCTAACGCCATTAACAAACATGTCCATCACTTCTGTTTTTATCTACCGTCCACGCTCAGTTCGGTTTGAACCGTCGCACATCGGAGTGAAAAAGGAAGTCTGAGGCCTCCTTCGAGTCGTTCTGCGCGTCACTCGCTCAGCTTTTGAGTTTTCACCATATTAGGAGTTTGTTGTCACGCAGGAGGACAGGATGTGGCCTCAACCCGCTTCTTCTGCGCTCACTTTGAAGACTTTTAGGTGCTCCTGTTAACTCGTCACTGGATTTTACAGAACCTCGTTTAAAACCGACCATCTGAGCGTCGTAGCCAGAAATAAGTTCACAGTGCGGCTCAGCTGAAAGCGGGTCGGCCACCGAAGTTTTACTCGGCTTATAGAACAAGAGAAATTAGCTACTTCTCTGAACGTGCAGTGTGAACGCCGAAATTTGTTCAAAAAGGTGAAACTGAATTCTTAAATTTAAAACTAGCAGGTCAAAGGCTAATATTAGCAAAAACAAATTTAAACTGGGCAAAAAAGTAGCTAAAGTACCCAGAGATGACTTCTGCTGTGACTTGGCACTATATAAATAAACTGAATTGAATTGAATTAAAGTTAGCAAAACAGTAGCTAAATGCTAAAGTTTGCAAAACAGTAGCTAAAAGCTAAAGTGAGCAAAACAAAATATAAAAGTTGAGATTAAAAAAACTGCCTCAAAACTAAATTTAGCAAAGACAAACAGTAGCTGAAAGAAAATTTTAAAAATAAATACATAACTATAAGTACCATGTATGGTATTTACAAGACACATAACTAGTTCTGACATAGTACTTGTGGGTATGTATCTTATATTTACCTCATGGTAAACACAATATGGATACACACAAAATGTGTTGTCAGTTGATACGGTGCATATTGATGATGGAAGTTTTAACATTTTTCAAAAGAGCAAAGAAAGGAAAAGTCCAGGTCCTTTCAGTATAAGGGGTCGTACTCTTAAGAACTGTGCCCTGCAGCTAGCAGCATCAACATGCTCAACATGTCTCTCCAACCTTTAGGGTCCCACAGCTCTGGAAAGACTCCGTTATTGTTCCAATCCCTAAAACCAAGCCTGCTCAGTCCCTGAACGACTTCAGGCCTGTTGCTCTGACTTCATACGTAAAGAAGTCATTTGAAAACTTGTTCTGGAGAGCCTCTTGTCTAAAGTTAAAAAAAAAAAAAAAAAACATTTGGATCCACTTCAGTTTGCTTACCGGACAAGTAGAGGAGTGGAGGACGCAACAGGAACTCTTTTAAATATGATTCTAGGACACCTTGAAGGTACAAAAACATGTGTAAAATTGCTTTTTAAAACTTTTCATCTGCTATTAATTGTATTCAGTCCCACATTTTAACAGAGATTAAGATGCTTTAATGTCTGGACTGGCCTCATCTGTTGGCTTGTGGACTTTTTAACTGTTCGGTCTCAGCGAGTGAGGGTCACCTGGGTTCTCTCCGATGTCCTTTTGTCCTCTACCGGTTCCCCTCAGGGCTGTGTTCTTTTGCCCCTTTTATTTATTTATTTACAAATGATTGTCACAGCCAGTTCCCACAGCGTCACATTTTAAAGTTTGCTGATGGCCCTGTCATCCTGTCCCTTCTCAGCAGTGATGACCCAGACCCCGGGCCTGTGGTCGGCGACTTCACTGAATGGTGTGAGTCCTTTTTAAAGTTAAATGTTTCTAAGACAAAGGAGATGGCCATTGATTTTAGAAACGACTCTTCAGTTGCTGCTCTTGTGGTTATTAACGGTGAGGCCGTCGATATAAATATATGGGGACTGTTCTCGATGACAATCTGACCTTTGACCCCCATGTGAACTCACTTTGTACGAAGGCCGACCAGAGAATGTATTTTTATCGAAAGCTCTGAGGTTTTAATGTTGATTTGACTTTTATTCATGTTTTACTGAGTCTCTTCCCTTTTACCTTCATGTGTTGGTTTGGGTTGTTAACATGTAAGAACAAGAACAAACTCTCTGGGATTGTATAAAACTGCTGGCATAGCCCTACAGAACCTCACTGACTTAAACAAGGCTAGGATGATTCTGGCAGATCCTGATCACCCACTCCATGGTGAGTTCAGGTTGCTCCGGTCTGGACACAGGTATCTGCTGCCCAGATGAACAGTCTGAAAAACTCATTCATCCCTGTAGAGATCAGGCTTCTCAACAAACAATGATGATCTCTGATATTTTAATGTCTTTATGTCTTGTCTAGTATGGATGTTTGATGTGTCTACTGACTGTGAAATAAAATGCCCCTCAGGGATAAAAAAGATTCTTGAACTTGAACTTAAACCTAGTAGTTACATGGTACTTACCAGGTATGAATCTGTTAGTTACCTGGTGCATACCTGATAATTACCTGTTATGTACCTAGTACTTACTTGGTATTTAGTTTGTACCTACCTGGTACTTATTTTGTAACTACCTGGCACTTACTTGGTACCTATCTAGTACTTACTTTGTGCATACCTGGTACTTAGCTTTGTACCTACCTGATACTTACTTGGTACCTATGTGGTACTTGCTTGGTACCTATCAGGTACTTACTTTGCACATACCTGGTACTTACTTTGTACCTACCTGGTACTTACTTGTACCTATCTGATACTTTGTACATGCCTGATACTTACTTTGTACATATCTGGCACTTACTTTGTATCTACCTGATACTTATGTTGTACCTACCTGGTACTTACTTTGTACATACCTGGTACTTGGTACCTATCTGGTTTTTACTTTGTGCATACCTGGTATTACTTTGTACATAGCTGGTATTACTTGGTATCTACCTGGTACTTTCTTTGTACCTATCTGGTACTTACTTTGTACATACCTGATATGTACTAGGTATGCACCTGGTACTTTGCACATACCTGGTACTTTTTTGTACCTACCTAATACTTTGTACCAAAGCTAAACTAAACTAAAACCAAACTACCAACCTGGTACTTACTTTGTACCTACCTGGTACTTGGTACCTATCTGGTTCTTACTTTGTGCATACCTGGTTTTTACTTTGTACATACCTGGTACTTTTTTGGTATGCACCTGGTACTTTGCACATACCTGGTACTTACTTTGTACCAAAACTAAACTAAATTCAAACCAAACTACCAACCTGGTACTTTCTTGGCATCTATCTGGTACTTACTTGGTATGTACCTGGTACTTACTTTGTGCGTACCTAAAAGTAACTTGTACACATGTATTGTTGCTGATTTTTTTTTTATGTTGATAAATTCTGCAGATCATAGTGTTAATGGTTTATATCCTAAAGAAAATAAACATAACTTATTATTTTTATGGAAAAAACTGGCATTAATAACTAAGGTTCATTTTTTAAATAAAGCAGATAGTATTTATATGTTATAGTTGGTAAATGTTGGTTTAGCTGTCCATTATGTGTAAAACTTGCAGTTTTAGTCTTGTTTACCTGGTTCTCTCAGGTGACAGTTTTCTCACTGTTTACCTTCATTTATTACAGTTTTTTTATTTTCTGTTCTTGTTCTCACCACCTGAAATCTCTATAAAATAAAAAATATATTTATTTTTTTAATCCTCAAAATCCTTTTTAATGTTCCTTCCTCCAGACCGGACGTATTGACATGTCCTACCCCACCGTCTGCGGCCACACAGGTCCAGTCCTGGACATTGAGTTCTGCCCCCACAACGACAACATCATTGCCAGTGGTTCTGAGGACTGCAGCGTCATGGTAGGACCGACTCTCTGGGCCTTAGTTCAGAGCAGGAGGTGCTGTGTGTGAGCACCATGTTTGTTTTTGGTTGAACAGATCTGGGAGATCCCGGACGGCGGGCTGACCTCGTCGCTGACAGAACCTGTTGTCAAACTGGACGGACACTCGAAACGAGTCGGCATCCTGAGCTGGCACCCCACCGCCCACAACGTGCTGATGAGCGCAGGTAGCTCTGGTGTTCAACCCACAAACGTTTCGCCAGGGAACTTCTGCGTATCGTTGGTTTTCAGGAACCAGGCGAGGGTATTTTGTGTCGGAGCTTCTATCAAACAGGAAGTTCTCACCCTCTGAACTCTTATCAGCACTCATTGTTGCCTGTGTCAATGTCTTTATTTGTCTGTTAGCAAAATATCTCATTAATCATTTGACAGATTCTAATAAAAACTTAAAGAATAAAATCGTAAATACATCTAGAACCTTTGGAGTCAACTCCATTCAAGATCATTTAACCTTTGAAAACACACAAAAACAACTACTACAACCATCTCCCCTCAAGTGTTTATTAGAAAAACATATAAAACGTAAAACCTGAAGGCCTCCCTGAAAGACACCAAAGGTCTGGCTGTTGTGAAGTCTCCTGAGACCGGCTGTCATCACTGTTCCCCGCAGGCTGCGACAACGTGCTGATCCTGTGGAACGTGGCTCGGGGGGAGGCGGTGATGAGGTTTGACAGCGAGCACACAGACCTCATCTACAGCGCCTGCTGGAACCAGGATGGGTCCAGGATCCTCACCTCCTGTAAGGACAAGACCCTGCGGGTGCTAGACCCTCGCAAGGGCACCGTCCTCTTAGTAAGTCTCCTCATCAGACCACAGTTTCTGTAACGCAGTTCATCACTATTATCACTGTTAATACAGTTTATCACTATTATCACTGTTAATACAGTTTATC